TAATGTGATCCCACCTACTTTGTTCTTCTTTTCAAAACTGCTGTGGCTGTTTGGGGTCTTTTTTGGTTCCATATGAACTTTTGAAGTATTTGTTCTAGTTCTGTGAAATATGTCGTTGGTATTTTGATGGGGATTGCATTGAATCTATAGATTGCTTTGAGTAATATGGACATTTTAATTATGTTAATTCTTCCAATCCATGAACAAGTTATGTGCTTCCACTTTTTTATATCTTCCTCTGTTTCTTTTTTCAATGTCCTGGAGTTTTCTTCAAGGTCCTTTACTTCTTTGGTTAAGTTTATTCCTAAGTATCTTAATATTTTTTGCTGCGATGGTAAATGGGATAGTTTTTTCAGTTTCTCTTTCTGTGAGTTCATCATTGGTGTATAAGAATGCCATCAATTTCTTTACGTTAATTTTGTATCCTGCTACTTTGCCAAATTCATTTATTAAGTCTAGATTTTTGATGGAGGCTTTAAGGTTTTCTATGTATAATATCATGTCATCTGCCAATAATGACACTTTCACTTCCTCCTTTCCAATTTGGATCCCTTTGATTTTTTCTTTATGTCTGATTGCTATGGCTAAGACTTCCAGTACTATGTTAAATAAGAGTGGCGAAAATGGACATCCCTATCTTTTTCCTGTTCTTAAGGGAAATGTTTTTATTTTCTGCCCATTGAGTATGATGTTGGCTGTAGGTCTTTCATATATGGCTTTTATTATATCGAGATATGGTACCTCTATTTCCACATTGCTGAGCGTTTTTATCAGAAATGGATGCTGGATTTTGTTGAATGCTTTTTCAGCGTCTATTAGTATGATCATGTGGTTTTTATTTTTTATTTTGTTTATGTGATGTATCACATTTATTGATTTGCGAATATTGTACCAGCCTTGCATCCCTGGGATGAATCCCACTTGGTCATGGTGAATAATTTTTTTTGATGTATTGCTGGATCAGATTTGCTAGTATTTCCTTCCTTCCACTTGCTCTGGGGTTTTCTTTTTGTTTGCTCTCTAGTTCTTTAAGTTGTGAGGTTAGACAGTCAATTAGGAATTTTTCTTGTTTCTTGAGGTAGGCCTGTAGTGCTATGAACTTCCCTCTCAGAACTGCTTTTGCTGCATCCCATAGATTTGGTGGTGTCGTATGTTCATTTTCATTGGTTTCCAGGAAGTTTTTAATTTCTTCCTTGATCTCCTCAGTAACCCATTCATTGTTTATTAACATGCTATTTAGCCTCCATGTGTTCAAATGTCTTTGCATGTTCTTGTTGCAATTGATTTCTAGTCTTATGCCATTGTGATCTGTGAAGATGCTTGATATTATTTCGATCTTCTTGAACTTGTAGAGATTTAGTTTGTGTCCTATCATGTGGTCTATCTTTGAGAATGTCCCATGTGAACTTGAGAAGAATGTGAATTCTGTAGTTTTGGGGTGTAATTCTCTGTAGATGTCTATTAAATCCATTTGGTCTAGTGCTTCATTTAGAGTCTCTGTTTCCTTGCTAATTGTTTGTCTAGATGATCTATCCAGTGATGTCAATGGGGTGTTGAAGTCCCCTGCTATGATTGTATTTCTGTTGATTTTTCCTTGGAAATCCTCTAGAAGATTTTTAATATATTTTGGTGCTCCTATATTGGATGCTTATATGTTTATCAAGGTTATATCTTCTTGTTGGATAGATCCTTTCAATAGTATGTAGTGGCCTTCTTTGTCTCTAGTTATGGTCTTCATTTTGAAATCTATTTGATCAGATATGAGTATTGCTACCCCAGCTTTTTTTTGCTTTCCGTTTGCTTGGAAAATTTTTTTCCATCCCTTCACTTTCAACCTATGTGAGTCTTTTGTTGTGAGGTGGGACTCTTGTAAACAACATATAGATGAGTCATGCTTTCTTATCCAATCAGCGACTCAGTGTCTTTTTATCGGAGCATTCAGTCCATTTACATTTAAGGTGATTATTGATATATATTTATTTATTGCCATGTTTGTTTCATTTGGTTATATTTTTCTTCCTATTTCTTCTACTAATTACAGCAGTCCTTTTAACATTTCTTGTAGTGCTGGTTTAGTGCTAATGTATTCCCTTAGCCTTTTTTTTTTGTCTGGGAAGCTCTTTATTTGACCTTCTATTTTGAATGATAGCCTTGCTGGGTAGGGTAGTCTTGGATTCAGATGCTTGTTTTTTATGACCTTGATTACTTCATGCCATTGCCTTCTGGTCTGTAGTGTTTCTTGTGAAAAGTCAGCTGAGAGCCTTATGGGGTTTTCTTTGTTGGTCACCTGTTGCTTATCTCTTGCTACCTTTAGGATTCTCTCTTTGTCTTTAATTTTTGGCATTTTAATTACTATGTGTCTTGGTGTGGGCCTGTTTGGGTTCTTCTTACTTGGGGCTCTCTGTGCTTCTTGAACTTGAATGCCTTCTTCCTTCACCAAATTAGGGAAGTTTTCTGTCACTATTTCTTTGAATATATTCTCTAACCCTTGCTCATTTTCTTCTTCTTTGGGGACTCCTATGATGCGAATATTATTACATTTCCAGTTTTCCCACAGTTCTCTTAAGCTGTCTTCCTGTTTTTTAATTGTTTTTTTCCTTTTGGTTTTCTGATTGGTTGATTTTTTCTACCCTGTCTTCTAATTCACTGATCCGGTCCTCAGCTTCCTCTACTCTGCTCTTTAGACCTTCCAATGTGTTCTTTATTTCTGATATGTCACTCTTGATCTCTTCTTTGTGGTTTTTAATTTCCAATTGGTTTATTTTCAGCATCTCTATGTCCTTACTCATGCTGTTGAGCTTCCTCAAGATCATGGCTCTAAATTCTACCTCTATTAACTTTCCTAATTGCTCCACATTGATATCATCTTCAGTAGAAGTCTCTTGTTCTTTCATTTGGCTTTTGTTTCTGTGTTTCACCATTTTGGCTATCACAGTGGGCTTTGGAGCCTGCCAAGTTTTCCCTGTGGGTATTGGTGTTCTACTGTTTGTGGCTTCCTCTCCTGGGTTTAGATGAGCGAGGTAAGACCCATGTTAAACACCACTGTCAAGTCTTACTTTCCTGGTTAGAGTTGCTAGCCCAGGAATGGTACTGTTATCCTCTAGCTTTTTGCCGGGTGGCTAGCAGTCCAGGTTACTTAAAGAGTTTTGAGTTGTCAGTTGATTGAAAAACTCCCTCAGGTGCTCAGCGTAAGGGGATTTCCTGAGGGTGGGGCAGATGCTGGTTGTTAATGAGCCTCAATTAGCACTTCAATGGCCCACAGGGTGGGGTTGGATCTCCAAGGGCGGGGCTGCTGCCTCTCCCCAGAGCCCTGGGAAGGAGCAATATGGCCACTGTCCTGCGTGGCAGCAACTCAGCAAAAGCTCTGAGCTCCCTCCAAATCCCGAATGTCCCCACACAGTTCCAGTCCAGTCTGCCCTCCCTCTGCCGGAGCTCAAGGTGAGTGGCTGTGGCTACTTTAGCCTCTGTCCCGGCCCTGCACTATGGAGCCGCTTGGGAGTGTAACCGAAGAGCGCTGCTCACAGCTAAGGCTGCTGCTGTCTGTGGGCTCCCAGCCCCTGTCTCGTGCCTTTGCAATCCTACCAGGATTGAGTCAGTGTCCCTGGTTATATGGTCCTTGCAAGCTGCTTTTCTGTTGCTTTTTCCCGTCGATTTGTCTGTGTTTTAGTTGTAATTCCGGTTTGGTCCTGGGAGACGGTCTGTGTAGCTCCGTTCACTCCGCCGCCATTTTGGAATCCCGGACTTAACTTTTTTAAATCACTGAAAGCCTCATTCCTCATCTAGTGATGGCCAAAAAACATGTAAAGCTGTTTACATCAGCATTGCTCACTTATGCTAATGTTCCAGAATATATCAATTCATTCTAGAAGGTTGGCTTCTAATATCATCATAAAGAAGTGCTTTTTAAATTTCCAATGCTCTCATCTGAATTAGAATAAAGGTAGGATCAGTATTTAAAGCAGAGAACTGTGAGCTTATTTTAAATCTCACATTATGTTATTTAAATTATCTTTATAACTAGGCAGGCATATTTGTCTAACTTCTGTGGGAATTCTGGGAATATTCAGAGATAAGAATTTCTTCTCTTCAGTAGCCATCTGGTCATTGTACTGGGTTAAATTATGCACCTTCCCACTCCTCCTTCCCCCCAAAAAGATGTCTACCTGGAACATGTAAATGTGACCTTGTTTGAAGCAAAGGTCTTTGCAGAGGTGATTAATGAAGCATATAAAGATGAAATCATTCTGAATTAGTGTAGTTCCTAAATCCAATGATGAATGTCTTATAAGAGACAGAAAGCGAGAGACGTTTAAAGACACAGGGGGAAGAAAGCCATTTGAAGTTGGAGGCAGGTCTTAGAATTACATTGCCACAAGCCAGGAATGCCAGGAGCCATCAGCAACGGGGAGAAGCAAGGACAGATTCTTCCCTGGAGGCTTTATAGGGATCATGGCCCTGGGAACATTTTGATTGAAGGCTACTGCACCACAAAGCTGTGAGAATACATTTCTGCTGTTTTATGCCACAAAATTTGTGGTAACTTGTTGCAGCAGCCCTAGAAGACGAATGCAGGTGTACATTTAATACTAATTGCAGGTTTTGAATTCCCTTACGTTAGTCTGTGTTTATAGGTAAGATCTTTTCTTTGAAGTATATAAAAAATTGAGTATCTGTCACTTAAAACAAACAAAAAACCCAACCTATTAAGAAGTACAAATTGGTAGTTACAAAATAGTCACAGGGCTATAAAGTACTGCACAGGGACTATAATAAATTATATTGTAATAACTACATATGGTGCCGGGTGGGTTCTTGAAAAATCGGGGGAGATCACTTTGTAAAGTATATAATTGTCTAATTACTATGCTTTAAACCTGAAATCAGTGCAAAATAACAGTGAACATTAATTGAACAATGAAATTTTAAAATCGAACCTTATATACATGTTATTCCATTTATCTCCTAAAGTTACTGTTTTGGCTTTATTTTATCTACCATAGATGTGGCTGGTGGTTATTCATATTCCATGCTTGATGCAATGAGAAAAGCAGTGATGGTTTCCAATATCCTTTCAATTAATAAGATAAATGAGAAAAGCCTCACCATCAAAGAGGTATTCAGACTAGCTACTCTTGGAGGAAGCCAAGGTAAAAACCTTTTGTTTTCTCTCTACCAATGTACAACCATGCCAATCCATGTCCTTGGATGCACTATGAAGGCACAGGATAGTGGCATCTGCAGGCATCCATTATTCATGACTGTTGCATCTCACATAACATACCCAAAGCTTAGCAAGTCAAGTACATGTTCAGGCATGTGGTAGAGGCATAATTCTTTTCAACAACCTCCTTGTCTTTGGCAGAAGAGATGTTTAATACACAGTTACCATATTAATTGTTTTAATGGATTGTTTTTGCATCGGTCACATGCATATAAATTCTTTAAAATAATCAGTTCTTTCATTAAGTCAAGTAACATACTATCTATTGGCCTGAGTGAAGATGATGATAATAATACTAATAGTAAGAACGATAGCCAAGAACTCTTACTATGTGATAGGCACAATACGACGTGCTTTATGTATGTTGTTATTTTATCTCTTAACCAATGATATTAATTCTATTTTATCAGCAGAGTACCTGGCGGAAGCTTACACAGCTTCCAGCTATAGAGTGCCATAATTTGAATCCAAAATCTGATGCCAGAGTGGAGGTTCTTACCCTTTTACTGTGATATCTTCCTGTGTAAATCCCAACGTAGAGCATACATTTTGTTTATGTAATTAAGTACAGTAATTAACCCAAGTCTCTTTAAGTGGAGAGAGATGTTGAAATATACTGGGTTGATATGCAAATGTGCTCACCAGCTTTTCCCAGTTCTCACATGTAACTATGTTTATGAAACAAACAAACAAAAAAATGGGTAACTGTATCGCTTTTCGTCACTTTAGCATTATGGTGTATTCTAGATGGATGATAGTGAACATAGCATGAAACCTTAGGTAGCTAGTGAGAAATAAACACACAGATATAGAGACAGATGTATTTGTAGATTTATGATAGATACCCAGGGTCTTAAAAATGGAAGAAGATGAAAACCAAGAATATCCTGGGAGGGGAGACATCCTGGCTCTTCTTTGCATGTTCTGGGCTATGATGAACGCCTTCAAGAACCTTTCAAGAAGAACAAGTAGAAGCCATGCTCTTTGCATTTCCAAGTCTTAGGATTTCATGTAAAGTTCCGTGTTTTAAATCACCATTCTTTTAACAAGTGTGCTGTTCCCCATCCCCACCCCCCACCACCACCGTGTTTGTTATCTGAGCTAAAGCACTTGGCCAACCACCTTCTTTTCATGGGACAGATGAGTTGTATTGAAATAGTGCTTTTTAGTTGATTATTTTTTATTCTAGGCTCTCTATGAGTTACTTCATCAGGATTCTGTGTCTGATCAAGCCAGCACAGGGTGCTCACCAAATAATTTCTACTTTGTTGTGTAGCTTTCAAATCTGCATTCTGAGGCGCTGGGCTTACTGTTACAGAATTTCTTCTCCTTAACTTGTGTCTCTACAAGAGACTGAGTGAAATGATGAATGGATTCCTATTCAAATGTGGCATCTTTCTGCCTTGCCACGCCCTTTATATGCAAGATGTGCTTAAATCACCTTCACAGAGCCAACGTTTGTGCCAAAGGCAGCAAAACTGTATTTCCAGAAGTGCATTGGAGTTGCTTACCAGTCCACCTGGGCCTTACTGCAATAATTTGAATTTAGATCAATTTTAAAATCACCAAAATCAATTGTGTCCTTTTTGATTTTTTGAACTCTCCAGGTTCCCACAAATAACTTAGTTAGTTTATATATATTATCAAACTCTGGCAAATGAACCTGGTTATCTGGCTTATTAAACACAGAACAACTTTATGTTGAATGCAGTCATTAAAAACTTTATTTGTCATGTTTTTTTGTCATGGACAAATGGGTGAAGGAGGAGAGAATTTCCAGTAATTTTCTATTACACTCAGTTCTTCTCCACACTGTTAGTCACCTAACTGCTTTTATCATTTCTGACTATTTTTGCCCCTGTTTTCCTATAAGAATTTTTTAGCTAAAAAACCTTTCTGTTCTGAGAATAAAAGAATTTACCTTTAAATAAACCTTTAAGAATAAGTAGGATTTCTAGGCCAGTGCCAAAAGACTTCTGGATATCCATACATAGAAATATAAGGTATCAGATATTGTCTCATAGGGATATGCCATCCAATATTTCACATTGGACCAGACCCTGACAGTGATAGAATACAACAAACACGTGTAAAAATTCAAATAAAAATGCTGCACTCCAGTTGACCCTCCTTTTACGCTTCCATTTGGTACCTCCGTGTGCACCTTACTCAAATTACAGGCTCAAGATTCAATACCTTCATCGACCAGGAAAGCCAGCTACCCCCTGAAACCAAATCAATTCGGTGAAAGAGATGTTCTTCTTCAGCATCTAATACACATGGAACATGAATTCTAGCTATAAGATGGATGAAATCAATAGACATATTGACCTATGCCCCATTTTAGAAAATCATTCTTCTCTGGCAACAAGAAAATCTTTGAAGTTGCAAGAAATCGATCTGCTTTCAAAAGGATTGGGACTCTTCAGTTACTTTTAGAACTGAGTTGTTTTTTTTAAACCAAGGAACTTACGATAAATATGCTTGCGTTGGCAAATGTGCAAAAGGATAATTATTTAATTAATTAATTTATTTATTTGAGGTTCATTTCACTGCCATGAAAATAGACCTTGTCAGACATTTCCTAGAACAAAAAGGGCAAGGGGAGGAGCTGGAGTGCTGGGGGGAGTCTAGGAGGGGAGGGGAGAAGATGAAAGCTACTTTGTCAATCTTCGTGTTTCTTGGAGGGATGAATGAATCAGACTAGCAGGATGTGAAGTGCACTGATAGAGCTGAAGTAGGGAGACACCATCTGAATTATGGTCATGTGATGAAGGGAACTGTTTTTATTCTCAGATCTTGCTTTCCCTTTCCTTACTCTGATTTCTGTAAATCAAAGTCTTGTAACCTATTGGAATGAGAGAGCTTTTCTGCTTCACTATTAAGATAATATTTTTTTTTTCTAGTGACGTGTTGGCTGACTCTGTCCTTGCAAACTGGGACATTGGCATGTTCTGATGGTTCAAAATACTGACTATTTATTAATTTATTCCACCCTGTAGCCCTGGGGCTTGATAGAGAGATTGGAAACTTTGAAGTGGGCAAGGAATTTGATGCCCTCTTGATCAACCCCAAAGCATCTGATTCTCCCATTGACCTGTTTTGTGGGGATTTTGGTGTTGATACTTTTGACGTAAGTAAAAAGAGTTAATCAAAAGGCATCTGTGTCTTGAGGAAATCACAAACATGCTTTCTTGTAGAAAACAAAATAGAAACAAACATTTTAACAGAATGCAAGAAAATCTTAAAAAAGGAAGCTAGGTTTTAAAAAGGAAGCATAATTTCATGACAATAATGTTAGCAATAATGGTACTAACAGAATATTTGTATTTTGGATATATTTGTATATTTGCATGTTTTTGGCTATAAGAAGCCACAATATAGTTAGCACTTATTGAACACACTTGCTAGGTGCCAGGTGATATGGCATTAAGCACTTTCATACATAATTTTTGTTTAATGGTCGAAACAGCTCTCATGAGAGGTAGGAACTGTTGATATTGCCATATAATTTGTGGGGCAGTGAGGCTTAAGGGAGGTTAAATGATTTACCTAAGGACTCGTGGCTATTAATTAGTAACTAGTAAACAGAGTTGGGATTCAAGCCCAGGACTTATGACTTTCAGAGTCTGGGCTCTTGACTACAATGCTACATTGATTTTCTCAACTATAAGAAAATGTGTTTTATTACTTTGTTCTCTTATTATAAAATGTTTCCCTTTGTATAAAAACTGGTTTTTCTTATTTTAATAACAATTTGTTATAAAATACTGAGTTTTTCTAAAATAATTATTATTTATAAATTGATCCAGTTATGAAAGTAAATATGTAAATATAGCATATTGAGGTTTTTTAGAAGAAAGATGCTGGATTATTAGAGGTAATTTTTATATTATTTATTCTTTTATTTCTTTAGTGGATTTCTAGTAAAAAGGCTTAGTCCTATTCATCCACTCATTTTTCTTTTATTATACATCTCTTAAAGTGTTTGCATTATTTTATTAAATTAATTTATATAACACTTTTCTTCTAAAGATTTCAAGGTTATATACTGAGAACTTCCAGGCAATAGATAAACATTTCTTAGTAGACAGTAGTTTTTTGGTTTTTTTTTAAGCAAAAGACCATTTCTTTTTCATTAATAAAAGTAGATTTTACCATTGAGAAATGAACTTATATTTCTGAGTTTTGCCAACCCACTATTGACTGTGAATTTACTTTTCTAAATGCACAAAATAATTATTTTTATTACCTTTATTTTCCATTTTAGACTATTATCCAGAAGTTTCTCTACCTAGGTAGGTAGAAATATGTCTCTATGCTAAATAAAATCTTTCTTTGTTTCTGTCTTGGGTATGACTATCCACATTTATGATACCACATGTTAAACTCTATGTATGGTCATTGGCTTTGATTTTTTTAAAAAAACATTCCTCAGCATGGTGCCCATTTGTGGCACAATATTTAAAGACATAATTTGAAAACTGCATGCTAGAACATCCAGTCATAAATCCTAAACTGAGGAATGTCATGCCCAGGGGAAGGATCATCATGGCTGCCCTATCAGGTTATATTCATGCTAAGGGTGTGGTGCAGTCTCCCCACACATGCTTTGTCACGTACTCAGAGTCCCCTGTAGTCACCGAGGGAGAGAAATACAGCATGCACAGATTCTATCTACTCTGCCTCCCATCTGCGGAGGGAGCTCCCAGTCCCAGGGAATCTGAGCCGGGAGAGGCCCGTATTCCTTGCGGAGCTCAGTCCCTGAGTGTGATGCTGGGCTGGAAAGATAAGCTCTTCCCATTTGGGGCTGGAAAGCCAAACCACTCACTTCAGCTGAGAGGACAGCCAGAGGGGTCAATTCAGGGTGGTGTGATTTCAGCCTTAGGTGCAGAATTCAGACTCCGCTCTCCTCGAATTAGACGCAGCATTTTCTGTTGGTCATGTCTCTCTGTCCATATTTTAAAAAATCGGAGAGAAAGGCAGCTTTTTATATGTTGTCTCTTAGAAGTGTGTTTTGCTCTTCAGTCTCTCCCAGGGGCAATTAAAGTACTTCTTGACACAAAAGCACTTTATAAATGATTCCCTGATTTTTTTCTTTCAGGAGATGACCGAAATATTGAGGAGGTTTATGTGGGCGGAAAGCAGGTGGTTCCCTTTTCCAGTTCAGTCTAAGACCCTCGGCGTCTGGAGTTCTCCTGGATGACATGGTTCTGCGCCTGCCTCGTGGTGCCCAGGCAGAGTTAGAAAGTTAAAAAATAGTACCTTGTTCTTGGGATGACTATCTCTTTCTGTGTTTACTTACAGTACTCACTTGACAAATCGAAGGAAGTTGCATTGATCCTCAAGTCTCTGATCGGGCGGATTCAAAATCTCTCCCTTTGGAGCTGTTCAGATTTACTTTAAGCTTAAACATAAGAGAATGCTATCACTAGCGGTGTTAATTATGAGCTCTAAGTAAAATCTATTTTGTATCTGGAAATGTGGAGAGGAAAGATATTCTTATAAGGTTAGATATTCTGAGCTAATAAGTGTGAAGTTTGGGTACAGAAAATCAACTAGTGAGCATATTTTTATGAAGGAGAAAAAGACTATGAACAAACATTGGAAAATCTTTTCAGATTGCTTGAAAATTATATACTGAGCTTACTAATTTAAAAAGAGAACTCGTTGAATTGTAAAACGTGTTTCTAGATTGACTTTGTGTTCTGGAAATTTGAACTTAATGGAATTTGCATTTCAGAGACTTGTTAGTGTTGTGCTTTGCCTTGTTTAGGGGGTGAACTGTCAGAAATTGAATGCCACCTGCTTTCTTAATATAGTTCTGTGCTTCAAAGTGTTTGACAGAAGTTGGGTAGTCAAGATTTAAAGTCTCTTAGGAACATTAGCTGCATAACTACGTGACATAAATAGTTGTATTTTTGTGTACTTTAAATCACCTTGATGTGTAACTGTGTGATGCTATTGTTGCTCCAGTTTTATTAGAAGAGAAACAAATTCCATACCCCACTGTTGTGTAACTGAAGTCTTCATAAAGTGGGGCAAGTGCTGGGCACGCAGAAGCTGTCGGTACTAAAAGGAAGAGTTTCATTGCAATGACCTGTTCTCCCCAAGAACTGTGTGGTAGTCACTGGTAATTTCACACTCTGATTGATCTGTTAGAACTTTCAAATGAAGGGCAAATCCTATTGAAAGAAATATTATTGAAAATCTTTAAACTCTGAATATTGAAAGCAGTCTATTTTTCAATTTTGTCCTATTGTTTTTTAATTCCTAATGATTTTAGAACATTAGAATTTAAGTATAATGAAAAATGTATAGACAACCCAATTAATGTTTATATTAATCTGTACCAAACATCTGGGAACATTAAACAAAGCAAAGAGTATTTTTATGCTTCCTAACTGACTATGATAAATCCTTAAGAAGTATTGATGTGAATATTATTTAAATACTTTGTTTTTCTCAGTTAATTCCAAATAATATAAACTGGAAAAGGAGTAGATTTTCTTATTATTTCATAACACTCATGCCTGGGGTTTAGATTTGACTCATTATCACCTTATAGTAGAGACCTTGATATATAGACCATATCTACAGAGCTAAGAATAAAATCCTCCCTCTTGGACTATAATTTTTATTCTCATATAATCATGCTACATCAGCAGTAATTTACTCAGTTTTTTTCTTTCTGGTAGAAACACTTTTAGATTTGATTGTGTTTAAATACACCTAAAGATAGAACCAATCTTTGGTCTTATTTTTTAAAGACAGATTTTTTTTTAGGATATTAAATAACTCAGATCACTTCTCCGCCTTTTGGCTAAGATCAAGTGGAGTATCTGTACTTATCAGTTTAAATAACTCAGTAAATCTAACTTCTAATCTCCGTAGCTGTATTTCCAGAATTCCTCATTCCCGAGCCATGTGAGTGATGGCCCACTGAACTGCTCCCCGTTTCTCTGCAGTGCCAGCACGAGTCTTCTGCTCTCTCTCCATCCGTGCCAAAGGAGCTCGGTTATCTGGTGTCTCACCCACATGAGTGGGCTTAAGAATTTGGATGAGATGTTCAAGATCCACTAACAGGTAGCAGCTGCCCCCAGCTTTTGCAAGATCCTATACTTTTACCTTCCTTAAGGGTGTACATTTTGAAATCGAACATCAGTTCTCATTTAGATTTAGGGTTCCTATGCAGTAAATATAAGTGAGTGTAGCATCAGCAGCAGGAAGAATGGTCACATACAACCACTTCGTCAAAGGTTAAATCTAGCCCTGATAGTATGTTAAGACCTGAGTATCTTTTGTAATAAAAATAGAATGTGTTGAGATGTTTACATGTGCTTTGATCTTCCTGCATCACTTAGAACTTACGTGCGTTATTTCTCCAAGTGCCGTGTTCCTGAATGGTGCATATGCTTTTTTGCAGTACTTTGGGCATTAGCTACACATACGCCCAGATGTTCTGCACTTTGAAATGTGGCCTTTGTCTAATGTGGGTTGACTTCCTGAATTGTGGGGAAACAGTATCCCAAGCCAATTCTAGTCGTCACTTTGTGTTTGAATATTTTGCTCTCTGACAGGAAAGAATGAAAACTTCTAATCAGCCCCCTCACTTCCTGCACCCTGCACTAGTTTGCCTTAGGTTTCACTTTAAGAGACCAAAATGTATCCAGTAGGATTGACTGTCATGCATTTAAAAATACATTTTTGTAACCAGAACACAAAAGCAGACTAATCAGATGAGATGAATTTAATTTTCATAAGAGAGTGAAATGTGGATTAGGGCCTGAGACGTTGTCCTAGTCATCGTGACCTGAGATCAAGGAGACTCAGCTCCCTTATTTATTCCCCCAGCTTCTTCTCTTATTCAATTGTCAAAGATTTGAGAATCTAAGAGGATGTCTTGGGACAAGCTCCCTTCATGCCAGGAGGAGATCTTTCTAAATGAATATTGTGAGCTTCGAACCCCATCTTTTTTACTTTTGTGAGAATTCTGCTCAGTTAAGAAAGGAAAGTGGTGGGAAAACACTCCTGTCATGCTGATCTGATTCTGCAGTGTGCCCTCGAATCTCCCTGTTGGCAGCTGCAGCTGAGACGCAGTGAGGAAACAATGCATGTGAGATCCAGCAACATGTTTTGAATCTTCACTCCCTTCCAAACTCTTCCTATTTTTAATCTTTCCATCTCAGAACCAGACATATGGGAAGCCTTAAAGGCAAGCTGGAAGGCACATTGGATCAGGTGTACCTTGTGCCACACACAAAAGAGATGCAGAATCGGATGCTTCTGCAGCCTGCTGGGTATCATTTCATTGTTGTCCATGTTTCAAGGCTGATGATGATGGCAGCAACATTCACATGTGTAAGAAGAGTTTTCTGAGTTATTAAAAGGTGGACTGAGAAATGTGTCATGGGCAGTGTCTTGACATAATTTTTAAGTGGTATGTATCATTGTGAATTTTTTTTCCTGGAGGCTTACAAGAGATATTTGCAGTTTCAAGTTGACCTAGCCAGTTTAGGTATGACTTTGAACCCTGACACACTTTCATGTCTCTCAAGGAAAAGCATGGAAAAGGGTGCACAAATGGACACTCTTAGGAAACCCTGGCATTGGTCCAGGCTCTCCTCCTTATTTTCTGCCATGCCTCTTATTTTCAGCGTGTGAGATCAAACATTGAGAGGTTAGTTCTGGTGCAGACTTAGTGAAATGCAAAAGTTGAACAGACTGTTAATGAAACTAAATATAAAGGTGGCTTTCACAGCCCTCGGAGTTCAAGTGGCTGAGTACCAGATGTTATGTGTCCGTAATTTACCTGTTCATTGCCTACTGCAAAGCCTGTCAGAGAGCATTCTTCACTGAAAACCACTTCACATTGTTGTTAAACTCCTGATCACTGCTCTGAAGAATAAATATATATATGTATGTATTTATGGGGACATTTTTTTTCTCAATATTTGTATGGTTTACCTATTGTTTATGTGTGGAGTGAGCTCTTTTGTGATTTAGAAAAATAAATGAGATTTTGTGTTTGCATTATATTTTTGTTGTGAGTACTATCAATTTGATAGAAGGGGATTAATCTTACAATGTTTTTACTCCTTTTAACATGAAGTTTTTAAAACAATAGCCTGGCTGGTGTGGCTCAGTGGACTGAGTGTTGTTCCATAGACTGAGGAGTCCCGGTTCGATTCCTGGTGCGGGCATGTGCCCGGGTTGCGGGATCAGTCCCCAGTGTGGGGCGTGCAGGAGGCAACCGATCGATGTATCTCTCTCTCTCCCTAAAAAAAAAAAATCAATAAAAACATATTTTTAAAAAACAGACTAGAATATTTAGTTGTGGGCCAACATGCACTTCCAAGCTCTGATAATCACTGTACATGGCTTTTACAAATTAAGTTAAAATGTTCATATTTTAGCTTATATGTATATGCCACAACCCAGAGTGAGAATGTACCTTAACATGAAGAATTACTTCACACATACATATGTACATATGTATTTAAAACAAAAGTCTCAAAAAATAATATTTTTCATGTCTGTGATGCCCTGGGCTATTTTCTGTATGGTTTTATTCTGTTCTGTTCTATTACATTTTATTCTGTTTAATGATTTTTGGTTTCTCAAACCTGCATGGAAGCCATTTCAGTGTCTTTTGCTTGAAGTCTCCGTGACTCCGTTCTGTGGTTGGGGCATGACATGAGTGGCTGCCTCAGAGTCATGAGGATTAAACAGAATGATACACAGCCAGCTCTTAAGATAGCACCGCGGACAGCGTGCTCACCATATAGCAGTTATTTTTTAAATGAATACAGACTGGACAGAACAAAAATAACTCTAAAAGGAAGTTTTATCAGTCTACTTTTTAGAATCTAAATCAAGTGATGTTACGGATCTCTCTGTACATAAAAATATTCTATAAGGATTAAATCTGAGTTTTTTCAGTGCTATTATGTTCATTATTTTTTATTTATAACATGAAGCATAAGAGAGAAGTAGATTTGGTCTATAAATTCACTCTCGTGTTCTGAGCAACTTACTAAACACCTTTTTTTGTTCCTCCTAAAGGACAACTTAGTTAAAATAACCAGAAGAGAATTTTTATGTGCATAATCTTGCAAAATGTGTGCCTGACTTGTACATTGTGGGCACTGAGTTCTGTAACAGTTAATTAGTAGACACATGCAAATTATTGCATGGTACTAAATTCAAGACTTAAATAAAATAAATACAAACAAGGCCTGTTGTGGGGTGTTTTAAGGAGCCCTGGCCGGTTTGGCTCAGCGGTAGAGCGTCAGCCCTTGGACCAATGAGTCCCAGGTTCAATTCCAGCCAAGAGCATGTACCTAGGTTGCAGTTCATCCCTGGCCCTGGTCGGGGTCGTGTGGGAGGCAACCAGTAAATGTGTCCCTCTCATATTGATGTTTCTCTCTCCCTCTTTCTTCCTGAAGATAAATGGAAAAATATCCTCAGGTGAGGATAAAAAATAAAACTCCATGAGGAGGCCACCCAGTTAAGGACACAAGACCCACAAGTAGTTGTCACCTATAGGAGCAGGGTTTTTGTTTGTTTGTTTTTTAATTTTTATTTTCCTTTATTGATTTTAGAGAAAGAGGAAGGGAGAGGGAGAGAGAGAAAAAAACATCTATGAGAGAGAACATCAATTGGCCGCCTCCTGCATGCCCCCCACTGGGGATCAGGCCCACAACCTGGGGATGTGTCCTGACCTGGAATCGAACCAGTGACCCC